CTCCCTTGTAATGTTCTCTGCTGCCCTCATGCAATGTGCCCTGCTGTCCGCCATGTACTGTCCCCTCCTGCCCCCCTGTACTATGCCCTTTGGACACCCTGTACTATTCCCTCCTGCCCCCCTGTACTATGCCCTTCTGACACCCTGTACTGTTCCCTCCTGCCTCCCTGTACTGTGCCCTTCTGGCAACCCTGTACTGTACTCTCCTGACCCTCAGTACTCTGCCCTTCTGACCCCCCGTACACTGCCCTGCTGATACCCATGCTTTGCCCTGCTGACCCACTGTACTCTGCCCTTCTTACCCCCTATGCTCTGCCCTGCTGACTCTTATACTTTGCCCTGCTGACCCCCTGTGTTCTTTCCTGCCAAACCCCTGTACCCTGCCTGCTGACCTTTTGCGTACTGTCTTGCTGCTTCCCTGCTTATGTGAAATTTGACCCAGAATTGAGCATCTGTGCATAAAAAAGCAAGCACATGTTTCACAATAAATAGGTAAGTTGTAATATGTATTCTATTATTAAATGTTATTTCTAAAAATAATTGTTACATCAACAGCTTGCTGAAAACACCAAAGTTCCATGAGCTTTAGATCTGGACATTATTTCAGGGGTTCCCTAAGGTCCTAAACTTTTTGCCAAGGGTTCCTCCAAGGTAAAAAGGTTGAGAAACCCTGCTTTAGACACATAGGTTTTGCTGCCCAGAGAAATGGCACCCAGACAGATTCAATTTTAAACAGAGCATGCTCTTTTTTTACTTCTACTATCACCTCTTGCCTCTGGCCCACTGTGCCTAATGGAATATCCAGCAATGTGCTATTAGTTACCACTATAAAAACAATGGGAGACTTTTCACTTAGTGGAGACACAGAAAGCAATCAAAAAAACCTGACAAATGTTCAATTTGAACCCCTTATAGCACTCTATCTAACCCACCACCACTATATCATAGCTATGTGCCTCTATTAACTTGCATAACAATGTAACTATATGGCAACTTTAAGTATCATTCTGATCATTTCATCCCAGATTCCACCCAGCTCACATTTCCATTTTGTGCTTATACAGTACACACCCATACCTGCTTAAACTAAGCCCAGTTCATTTTTAGTTACAATAATTGCAAAGGTTCTATAATGAGTGTGGAGAAGCAGGATAAAACTGCAAAGGACAAAAGTCAAATTAACAGCCCAATAGGTGACAATTCACTTTAATGACTCCCTCTTTCGTCTCACAGACTTCTGTTAATGTCAGCTTGAGCTACTGAGCTCTGTGTAAAACAGGGTTTAAAGAAAAAGAAAAAAACAAAACAGAGGAAAACTAGCACCTAACTCCGGATGGTTGTACAGAAGAGTAACCTATGTTTGTTTAGGTATTTAGTTTACTTTACTTTACTAAATCCCCTCTATTTTTTAAAAGAGAAGCACAAGAATATAAAAAAACAAACAAGCATACTTACCTAGATGGCTACAGCATTGATCTGATGCTGCAGCTGTCTCCTGCTGGCTCTACATCGAGAACTAAGCAATTAAATTCTGCAGATCACAAATTTTTTGGGTCCACACTGAACAGTGGCTGACAGTCACCAGCTATGTGATCTGCCCCTCCTGTGCTCACTGGAGAGGCGGTCTGGGGAAGGGGCAGGCAGGCTCTCCCCAGTGTGCAGAGAGGTTGACACAGTGGCTGGTCAGGCATGTGGGTGGATCCAAACATTATTGTAGGGTTCCCTGCAGAGCCTGGATAGCAGCTGACAGCAGACTTTAGCTCACTGTTGGCCGCATCTGAGTTACAGCACTGCTAATAGTTCTGCACTCATCGGAAGAGTATGGCCAAAAGGGCTTTGGCCATACTTCCCATTTAAAATAAAATACTTGATTTTCATCTTTTGTCATCCTTTGTTACATCACAGTACTGTTGCTCTCCGGTAGCCTCTTTGTACCCACTTTCTGTCTACATTCATGCTCCTCAGTGATGGCCACACAGTATTTATCAGGAGGGTTTCCTGATAGTGAAAACAGTGGGCCTACGTAAAGTGTGTTGAACCTCCCACTTGTAGCATTCATTGTAAGCCTGTGTGAGAGGGTGACAACACAGGAGAACAATTGAGCGAAAGGAACAGAGCACTTTTTTTTTTTTAGGAGAGAATGTTCCATTAGACCTAACAGAACTAGTTTGTTTTGGGTTTTTAATATTTTTTTTATCTGCTTTGTTCGAAAATAATACATATGAAACCATTAGAATAACAAGCACTCTTTCTGTAACATTTGTGCACATAGGGGACGTCATTCTTAGTATTCTGAGATAACAAATATAGGTGAAGTTGAAAGATTCAAGGAAAAATACATTTGGTTTGTTGAACAACACAAGAGCTAAGCTCCAAACTTCACTGTATCTTTGTATTCATATTCAAATGTATGAATTGGCGATGGTGATGTATGCAATTTATAACATTTTGACAGGTCTCTTGAAAGCTGTGGGTTTTCAACTCTCAGTCCAGTTTTCTTCATAAATGTAAGGGAGCTAACACATCTATACGTCTGTCTACATTCTATCTATCTATCTATCTATCTATCTATCTATCTGTCTGTCTGTCTACATTCTATCTATCTATCTATACGTCTGTCTACATTCTATCTATCTATCTATCTATCTGTATCTACTATCTATCTATCTGTCTGTCTGTCTGTCTGTCTACATTCTATCTATCTATCTATCTATCTGTCTGTCTGTATCTACTATCTATCTGTCTGTCTGTCTGTCTGTCTACATTCTGTCTGTCTGTCTATCTATCTTTCTATCTATCTATCCTTTGGCACAAAGTAAAAAATCAATGGACCTGCACAGGTAAAAGTTAAAACAAAACAGCCTTGTCCACAATACTCACCATCTCTCAAGCACTGTCTCCTGCAGATATATTGCTCCTCTTCTGGGTTGAATGATGCCCAACATCATTCAACCCACTTCCTGGGAGCCCTGGTCATCATGGACTCATCCCCTAGGGGAACATCATCAAGCCAACATGGGCCTACAGTATAGTCTTCACACTATGTTAGCGTCACACTATCCAGGAGTGAGGAACACCCACTGCAGATGCTGGTAAAGAAGAAGGGCCCATGACATTACATGAACAAGAAGAAGACTGCAGGATTTGGTATCTGTAGCCCCTGGTCAACAGTGCTGTCCTGTCTGGCAGCAGGGGCCTGGGCTATTACTGTTGCTTATCTCCTCCCACCCTTCGAGATGTGCAGAACTGCTGGCAGCCACAGAGAGAGTGCTGGAAGAAATCCCTGTCCATGGGATCACAGAGAGGAAAAAAAAAACAAACTGTTGGGGATTGTTGGAGGGACACAACCTGCTGGGAACAACTATGACTTGTGAGAGATGTAGTCCCCGGATAGACTAAGCCTGTATTTTAGATCGGCAATGAACTACACATAGCAGCATGATTGGAGCTCTGTTCCTGGGCTCAAGGTAGATGTGGTGGGGACATTATGGAAGACAGACAGTGCAGCAAGCTGTTAGCAGAATGTTTCGTCATCACATCAGGGATGCAGAGTAGTGGACATCTTCAAGTACATGACTAATGCTGCCACCTGATCGTTCCGGAGAATGCCGCTGCTGACTTTATTGAGTCTACAAAAGGAAAAGAAGGAAAACCAGCTGTCAACTGGAGTTGCTGAGAAACCACTGGCCAAACCCTACTGCACCCTATTAAAGAGGAACAGCCTTGTTTTTTTGGGACACAGTGCAGGAGCCTTTAAGCACTCCAGTGCCAGATCTGTGCCCCAATGTGTTGGTCAGCAGGGAAAAGGTTTATTACAGACTGACAGAAGGTTATTGTAACATTGACCCTTAAGCAAGACGTTCCCTAATGTAAAGTTTAGGGGTCATTCTCTGAACCATTGACAACATCAACATTACATTCCCATGGGACCTTTGAGGCAATAGTGTGTAAACCCTATAAGTAAAATCATTGATCTTTATTTACAACATGTTTAAAAAAAAGGACATTAAATTATATATCAGCGGATACATCATACATATACATAATAGTTCAATATGTCTATGACAATACCCATAAATCCCTAATCAGGAAATTAATATAAATTCTCATAGTGCTTTACTTGTTCACACCAATCCACGACCAGGGATAGACACAAGGGGGTTTATTTACTAAAGCTGGAGAGTCCAAAATCAGACTCCCTTCTGCATAGAAACCAATCAGCTTCTAACCTCAGCTTGTTCAATGAAGCTTTGGCAATGAAACCTGGAAGCTGATTGGTTTCTATGCAGAAGGGAGTCTGATTTTGGACTCCCCAGCTTTAGTAAATAAACCCCAATGCATTTCAAATATTATTTGTTTAATGGTAAAAGGTTGTGACATATAATGTAACTTGTATATATAAAATCAACCAAAAAAATTATAAAATCATCTGGAGCATGCAGACACCTCTCCACCTTCAACCATCAGCAGGCTAAGCAGATATCAGCCCAAAGAGGGGGTGCATGTACACTGTCCCCTTCAAGTAAACCCTCAGCAAAAACCACCACCAGCAAAAATCTACCCTCATCTAAAGGAAAACTTTCCTATCTGAAATAAACAAAGGATGAAAAGAGTATCTTATGGATATAGAAACGTGATTATTTATGATGTTTGCGATGCACAGGGCTTTCAGCTCTTTAAATGCATCCAGTTACAGTGTACATCTACTTTATTGTTTAGTTCACCTTTGTTAATGTTTACTCATTTTTCTACCCACTTCATTTCCTACCTATTTTTTGTTTTCGTTGTTGATTTTTCATTTTTCATCCTTTGATTCCTTTGTTTTGTAACACTTCATTAGACAATGTTTTATGCCAGAAACATCATTGTTGTTTTAAATTTTAATGTCTTTATAAAAAGATCAAATCACACAATACAATTTGCAAATTTGATAGTTTATAACCTGCTTTAGCTTTCAGATGGTAGAGCAAATTTTGGTTGTGATAAAGGCAGGGCCCTCAAACAGGGGCGGACTGACCATTTGGAAACTCGGGCACTGCCCGAGGGCCCGGGGTCAGTAGGGGGCCCCATGAGATGCCCCTGGTACCTTTTTTGTAGGTTTTTTTGAGTTTGAGCAAGGACACAGGGGTCCCATGATCCCCTATTGCCCAGGGGCCCCATGAGTTGTCAGTCCGCCCCTGCCCTCAAATCCCTCTTGTATTGAACTGTATTTGTTGCTGTATTGTCTCCTGTTATATTGTAAAGCGCTGAGCAAACTGTTGGCGCTATATAAATCCTGTATAATAATAATATTTAAAGCCTACCTTTGCTTTAAAGCAGAACTCCACTCTATCTTAGAAACACAAACTATAAAAGATATTTAATTCATTTTTAATATTCAAAGTAAACTCAACCATCCATCCATGTCTCCATGCTTTATTTTGTTGAGAAATCACTTTGAAAAACATAGCACTAGCATTTCTAGTCACAACCATCTGGAGTAAGGCTTCATGTACACGAGCAGCTCCTAAACTCGAGTTTAGGAGATTTTGCCATTTTTTTGCCAAAGCTTCTAAACTCAACTCAATAAAAGCCTGTGTCCATGTACACATAGGCTTTTAGCAGAGTTTAGGAGTTGCTGCGTTTAGGTGAGGTTAAACTTCCATCTCCTGAATGCAGAAGAATCATGTTCAGGATGGGAACATGTTGACCGCTAACCATGGGAAAATACAAAATGCAGCAAAACCGCGGTACAGCGATTGCCTGATTTGCGTTTTCCTGCAGATGCCAGTCAAGGTAGGCTCATGTACATGGAGCCTAAGGGTGGATGATTCATGTAGCTTTTACGTCCTGGAATCCATCCATCTTCCCTTAACTCAAGAATGCAGGCAGGAGGGCATGCATAGCTAAGAAAAATCCTCCCCCATATGAAAGAAAGCAAAAAGCTTATGAAGACTCGTGGGATATAGGACATCATTTTTGCCTAAGCCAGAAACCAGGAAGCAACTGAAGAAAGGTAAAGAAAAAAGGTTTAAAACAAGTTAATACAGGGGTTGGACAAAATTTTGGAAACACCAGGTAAAATAATGAAATTGTTACCCAATATGTTGTTAGACCGCCTTTGTTATCCTGAATTACCCTAGGAATTTACAAATATAAGTTCTCGATGGTGGATAATAGCATCTGATAGAACTCTTCATGCAAAAATTATTCCAGTTCTCGCAGGTGCAGGAGCTGGGAAACGAGCCTGAACCTTGTTCTCCAAAACTGACCATAGTGGCTCTATGACAATGAGGTCCGGCAACTGCGGCACTCAGAAAAGGTGTGAGAGTTCATCTACATTCTCATCAAACCACGATTTGACAGCATCAGCTGTGTGTATCAGAGCATTATCGTCTTGGTAAATGGTGCTGTCTTCGGGAAACAATGTCTGCATCATGGGGTGCACATGGTTGGTCAACATTTGTACATAGTTGCTGGCAGTGATTCTACCTTTCAAAGTGATGATAAGACCTGCAGAATACCAAGATATGGCTTCCCAAACCAAGACTGCGCCACCAGCATACCGTTGACACAAGACAGTCCTGTTTGTAACTCGGGATGGTGTTCGCGACATGTAAACACATCCGTTGGTTGGGAACAGTGTGAATCTCAATTCATTGGATCATTTTACAGTCTTCTTTTGTCGATAGTCCACATTTTATGGATGGTGCACCACTTTCTCCTCTTCTGAGCATTATCATCGGTCACTAGTGGTCACCTGTGAATGTTTTGCCTATGGCGTTCCTGACGCACAGTTTTTGTGGTCATGGGCTTTTGAAGACTGAGATTAAGCTCTGCAGTCACTTTTGCAGCAGTTGTTTTCTTATTCCGGGTCACAATCCTGCGCAATGTCCTTTTCTCTCTTTCTGTCAGTTGACCATGTCGACCATTTTCATGCTAATTAGACGATGTTTTCCCAGAAACTATATATGCCCTCACAACCTTTTATACTGTACCTTGTGACTTGGCAAATAAATTAGCAACTTCAGCCACAGAGGCACCAGCTAAGCGGCATCAACACATTGCCCTCTTTGAAGCTCAGTAAGCTGTGACATGACTCCATATTACTAGGAGCGCATGCAGTGAATAATAAAAGTGAGGCTTCCCATCTGTTAGCTAAGTGTCTCATCACACAGCAAAAGCAAAAGAATGTTATATCACTTTCGCTGTCAATGTGAAACATGTTGTCACTTTCACAACTGCAAATCATGTAGTGTTTCCATATTTTAGTCTAACTTTCCTAACTATTTCCTAATGGTAGCAGCATAAAGAATAAAAATAATTAGGGTATAGTCACACCAGATGCAGTAGTGGGACTATGTTGGGCGGCAATTCCAGCAGGGTCCCACTGCATGAAAAAGCAAAATGTCTAATTTCCTGTGTGGTCAGTTCACACAACTGCATTGAGGTTGAGTCTGTGTGGTGTACATTGAAAAACAGTACTGTGAGCAGTACTTGTTCCAGTGCAGCGCAGTGCGATGCAATCCACCATTTTGCACCATGCGACCGGTAAATTAAACTCAATGAAAAGTCTCTGTGACATTTCAATAAAGTTCATTTTTAAAAAATTAACATCATGATGCACAGCGATCTTCGCATCGGCACTGCAGTGATCATGCTGAACTGCACTGTACCCCACCCGTCCCATTCAGTTCATATAAAATATTCATGCAGCGAAAGATGGATTTCATCAGGGTTACAGGGTGGTAGTTGAACTGGAGGTTCTCTTTAGGGACGTGGGTGCAGCCTCTTCCAGGTACTGGGATGGTCACCAGGGGGAGCTCTGGGGGATTTAAGATAGCAATCGCCGGAGAGACAAGAGAGAGGAGAGAAGGGGAATACAGTGCAATATGTTGTAAGACTCTATGCATGTAAATCCCCCAGAGCTCCTTCTGGTGACCATCCATCCAGTACCTGAAAGAGGCTGCACCCATGTCCCTAAAAGGGACCTCCGGTTCAACTAACACCCTGTAACCCTGATTAAATCCATCTTTCCTGGGCTGCTTCTAACACCACCCTAAGAGGGATCCCTGGCAGACCTCCATTTAATTATATACTGAGCAATACATTTGCACATCTGGTGAGTGCGCATTTTATCTGTTTCCTGCTCCTCACCGAATCTTGCTGAATTATATACAACTGGGATTAATTGAGTCACCTTGAGCCTTGATTTTATTTATTTATATATCTATTTAATTATGGACTGGAATAATATCTTTGTGACATATAATTTACACGCATCAGGATTATATTTTATTTACATTTTAGCACTGCACAAATATTTTATGTGTCTTTTTGAAGGTTTTATGGTTCGCTTTTAGTGCACAGCTGCTTTCTTAGTTATGCGCTCGCTGAATTTTTACATATTACCCCATTCAGTTCAGTTTGGCATTTTGTGCACCAAATGTTAGTAACTCTACCATTATTGCTTTGATATTTCTATACACCGCCATTGTACATGTAGATGCGTAAGCTCCATCTGTCTTGGGTGGGTTAGCACTTTGAAGTTTTCTCCTTTGGCACCAGAGGACCTTGTTCTGGCACTGCATGTACATATTTCAACTTCAACTAATATATTTTCTTTTTTTTCATAATATATAGACATGCAATTATGCAGAAAAAGATTTTAAATACCTTATATGAACTTCAAATGGAACTAAAAGAGGAAAACTTTCTTGAGAAGAAAATAAGGAACAATATTAATTCTGAGCTAGATTATCTATTTTCACAGCCTACATTAACTTACATATAGAATTACTTATTTTTCCAAGTTTTCAACAGAACTTTAGTCTTTTAAACAATACTAATTTTATAAAAGACTGTTTCCGAGCAAGGTGAATGTGTCCTTCCAAAGAGGCAATTTTCACATGTTTATATCTCAAATGCTACAATTAAGTTTGACAATGGAAAAGAGATTGTCAGATAGTCATTTAATGTGTTGGGTTTTTTTTCCTTCTTTTAAATATTGTATAAAAAAAAAGTTGTTGTTTTTTTCTTTTTTACCATCTGTCATTCGAGCACATCAGTAAAATATATAAAGTGTTTATCAATTGTCTTCTACAGTGCTAAAATGAAGTTACATTTAAATAGTTTAACTCAGAGTTTCCAAGTTAGGTCTAAACAATTATGCGCAACTTGTTGAACTTGAAGAAATGCAGCAAAGAATCAGAGAACAAAGAAAACATACTGTAAGGTTAGAAGGGTAACAACAGCTGTATTTTATTCTCAGTCTCATACTATCACACCCCTATTAGTGCCTAAAAAGAAAAGCACATACCAAGGTCAACATCCTGAATAATTAGAGCATAAATATAATTTTTGCCCAACATGTTTATTTCTCCAACAACAGGATAGTACTTGACCATTAAAGAAATCTCTAGACAACAATCACCCATTTAGCATTTAGGTGGTCTTTTTATAACCTTCTGAAACATGCTTTTCTTACCAAAGTCTGCCATACAGGGCTCTCACTGGCATCAGCTTTAGGTTCGGAGGACCAGTAATCCAAGGGTGTAAATGTATCTTCACCGGCTGGTCTCCAACTATTCCTTTTTGCTCTCTGTCTATTGTTGACCTCTATTGTTCCAAAAAGTTTAATGGGTTTTCCGCCTATGGCTGTACCATGCAAATCCAAGGAAAGATAATAGCCAGCACTGCATGAGTTTCCTTTTGCTATTATCCACTGAGACTCCTTTTCTGAATCATTAGACCACTCTGTCCCTGGACACCCAATAGAAAGTGCCCACGGCATGCAGGAAGTGATGTAGACACCCACAGAAGAACTTTCCTCCTGTGACTAGACCATGTAAGAAGACTTTGGACTAGATCATCAAATGACTCCAGATTGAGATGGGTACATTTAGGTTTTTGTTTATTACAGCCAATGGTTAGTTAAAGGGATGTGAAAAACTTAGAGTTAAGTTTTAATAATTTGCATTCTACAGTTAGAATTGAGTTCTACACTGGCAGTGTAGTAAATGGTTAGCACTGGCAGCACTAGGGTTATCAGTTTGAATTCAAACCACGGCCCAACTTTCCTGGAGTTTCCATGCTCTCCTTGTGCCT